TTGCCTCTGTGGTAGCAGTTACATTGGAGAAACCAAACGACATGTCTCGGACCGCATCCGTGAACATAAGGCAGACCTGAAACACGGTAGGACAAACACCTCAGCCGTGGCAGATCACTGTTACAATTCAGTGGGCTCACATGACATTGACTTCTCCAAGACAGAGGTTCTCTGCAAGCCATCTGGCTATCATGAGAGATTCGTTCATGAGGCGATCCACATATACAAACACAGAGACAATTTCAACCGAGAAGATGAATTCTGGCTTAGTAATCATTGGAAGGACGTAATAAACCATTTCGGATCTTAACTGATTGTGTTCACGTTTACGGTGACTTTCAGACCGCGTTCCACTCACTGGCATGGTGCAGTGTGCAGAGTAATGTATGGTGTCGTAATTGTATAGTAAACATATAGCAGTGTGATACACATTAGGGTGGGTAGAATAATACATAGTGTTATATTAAAATGGATAAGGCAGCAACTGCAGCAGCAGCAGCAGCAAGTGCAGCAGCAGCAACTGCAGCAGCAACTGCAGCAGCAGCAGAAACTGCAGCAGCAGCAACTGCAGCAGCAGCAACTGCAGCAGCAGCAATTGCAGCAGCAGCAGTAACTGCAGCTCCCTTTGATGCTGTTAATCCTGCATAATGCACATGCATATGCAGTACTAATCACATTCCTGCATTTCCCATAAATATGCTAAATTCCTTTTGATATGCAAATTCCTTTGTCAATGCGCCCAGCTTATATATATGCTCCAAGCTCGTGTGCTGTTTCATTCAGACTCTGTCGCCTCGACGGACCTGGTTTTCACCTGAGGACGGCTGCTTGCGTTGTGGCCGAAACGTCGTGAGAATTGTTTTATTATGTTTTATTTTTATTATTTTATTACTTCCCTTCTACGTGACTTTACCGAAAGAACCAAGAAGATGAATCCCTGCAGTCACGAAAGCTTTAAATCAATGTACATGCTTGTTTCTAAATACGGAGGGTAAAATCGGTGGACCAGGAGGACATTCCACACGACCACCACGAGGAGAGTACAGATCAATCTCATCAGAGCTATGAAGAGGCACACTTAGTATTAGAGCATATTGGGAAATTAGAGAAAGCTATTAACTTAATAGAAGCAAGTGACTTGTGCAAGACACGTCACTGGAGGGGATTATGGCCGGTGGACGAGACTAATGATGGCGTGGCAGCTAAAGGACGCCTGAGAAGATGTCTACCGTGGCCACAGAGCAATGAATTGGGTCATGTGCGGGACCTGTATAGATTGTGGCATCACAAGACCATGATATATGGTGATGGATTAGGGAGGTGTCCATGTTGCAGGGGATAGGTCATGGCTGATGGTGCATCTTGATGCAACAATCCTTGAGCTTGGTGAGAGTCTGACACAGCACGACGTGGGTGTTGTACTCCTGCCGGTAGCGCTGTCTCCTGTCTCCTGCCAGATTCGCCACTCCGTCAGCGTGCTGCGGTGCTGCCCCTTGCCCCGTGCGCTGCCCCTTGCCCCGTGCGCTGCTACTCTCGACTGCAGCGAGAGCGTGGGAGCTGCTGCTGCTGATGCTGTTGCCCGGCAGCAGCGAGCCGCGAGAGATGCCGTGCAGCAGGGGCCATGCGCGTGGTGGCTGCACGCGGCTCTTCGTCGTCATTGTGCGTGCATGGAGCAGGTGCAGGGGGCGGTGTGGGCAGCAGAGGGCAGTGCTGCAACGTCCGTTGCTGTCTCCTCCCTCTGCCTTCGCCACCCCGCACTGACCAGCGTGGTGCAGGATGGTCAAATATAGTTACCCTCACGGCTGGCACGGCGTGGGGGGGATGTCCATGTACACGTTCCCTTGCATTGTACAACATTTGGAACCTGCACTCAATTTGCCTTTCATTGTCCTGCAAAGGTTGGACAGCCAATACGAATCGGGCAGGGAGTGGTTGCAGTTGTGTCCAGTTGATGCTAAATGAGTTGTATCCACGTCACAAACAACGACCATAACATTTAATTTCGGGGCCGATTCCCAACTCTCATCGGAGTAATGGCATGAGAGTGTTCATACTTCTGTGAGCATTGATATGTATTGTTCTGCCTCACGGCAGGGGTTTGCCTCACGGCAGATGGGGGGGGGGGGGGGGGGGGCGTATGTACACAGGAATTTCCTGTTTTTGATGCTAAGTTTGGTCACGTGACCAGGAAGTTGCGATTTAAGATTCCCGCTCAACCACGCGGGCGTCGGCTATTACACACATAATTCAAGATGGCGGCACACATCGCGTCCCAGTAAAGCCAGCCGCAACTGTCCATTGTGAGACCTTAAGAAGCATTGTCTGTAAGTTCGTTTATGTTCTTATAATATTGGCAATGTTGTTATAATGTTAGAATGACCGTTATATTGCTGTAAATGCCTTTATAATGCTGTTAAATTGTTATGATAAATAGGAGGCCTAGTTAACAACGAAGCCTGCAACTTTCCTTATTGTGAATGTTAGTTGTAATTTAATAAGTCGAGTCAAACTTGTACCCAAATAACTATATTGTGATCCTGAGAGCAAGGATGACGAAATATCTCATCCACAATTTAGTGTTATGTGTAATACTGTACATTTGGGGTGCAGTGTGATGAATACACGATGTGCCTTTATGTAACACAGCAGCTTATGCTCGTGTATAGTTATTAAGTGCTAATGTAGGGGCCTGGTCCATTCAGGGTCTATTGTTGAGAAACATGTTATCTAAGACAATTTTCTGATGCTGTGCTGTTCATTCATTGTGTTGGTGTTTCCGGGTTATAACAGATGCTATATCTGTGCTGTTTTCTCACCAGTTTTACCTCGTTAAATTCAATAAATGACGTTTGGAGTCGGACGTTCATCCTGGCTCTGAGGGTTTATTGGACGCGAGGTTAACTACTCAGCTAGCGGTGCAACGCAGCGCACAGCGAGGCCGAGACATGTATATGTGAACATGTTTCGAGCTGGAGTATCTTAGTATGTCAAATGTTGTACTGGACATTTGTGAAAAATAGCTTTTTATCTCATTGGATTCCTCCAGTATAACTACATATTGTGATTCTGTATTTACGTCTAAAGCTGATCAACACTATTGGTCACAACTGGACTCTGCATGATGAAGATTACTCAACCAAGCACTGAGACAGGCTGACTCAGATGGATGAGTTTCTTATACTCTGCACAGACACAGATGACAGTAGGAGGAAAACACGGCTTGTTTCACTCAGCCGCGCCACGCGGCTGGGTGCGTGTTGGTTGAGTCGAGTCTCGGCGTCTCCCAGCTCCGACAGGCGTGGGGCAGTGCCCACTCTCTCAGTGTTTATTCGGGGGGGGGGGGGGTATCAGAGGATGCCTCACCTTGGTGAGTGTGAGTGGGGTGAAGGTGAGGAGTGTAGACGTGGGGGTACTAGAGCACGCCTCACCGCCAGCCTGGCAGCCTGGCGTGGCCACAAACACAAACCGCGAGCATTGCAACAAATAAACAAAGAGGTCGTGATGCAGGCTGCGTTACTATAGCAACACAGCCATTGCTTACGAGAACATGTCTCATTCACGAGTTTTAAAATGTTTAAATGAATATATAATATACATTTTGTAAAGAGCAGAAACAATTAATCCCGATTATCAACATCGTTGGAAATCGCCGCTTCACTTTGTCTCGTCCTGCGCCATACAAACTGTTAAATCCCGAAGTGCGATGTGCATGGGTGATTGTTCACTTTCGATGAGCGCTGTCGTTAAGGGGAGCGCCGTGCACAGTTTGGGTCAAGCTGAGACCGCCTCTACTTCGGATTTGGGGCCATCCATAAATGACATCACGCGATTTTGGACGATGTTTGACCCCCCCCCCTCGTCACACAGCGTCACAAAAAGTCAGACCCCCCCTCAAATATGGCGTCACAAAGCTCTGCCCCCCCCCCCCCACAAAATAAAACATGCTTCAAGTCGCTTTAAACTATTGTCATTGTAGTGCGTATTTAATGTGCCGCTGCACTCTGATGTTGTAGGAGGAAACTTTTATTAAAAAGTCTATTTAATAAAGTAGAACGTGTTTATATTTATTTAAAGTTGCACATTTTGATGTGATGTCAAATTTCTCAAATCCCCCGCCCTCGTCACCCATCGTCACAAATGTCTGACCCCTCCTCCCCCCTAGGTGCGATACGCCATTTATGGACGGCCCCTTTGGTGATCTCACAATAACCCAAGCAGTGTGCTGGCCAGCGGATAGGCTGGTCCCTATCATAGGGATGTGGAATTTCCATTGCGAGCTCAGGTCCATTAACCGAGTAGAGCACCACCCAATGCTTGTTTGAGCAGGACGGTGACTGGTCGTTTGAATGGTCATGGTTATTGTCAATGAGCTGCAGCAATGCAACATTATTATATTGGATAGCGAGCAGCTCAGATGCAATACACATCACGGTTTCCCAATGTTTAAGGCAAGAGACAAGGGGATGTCTCTCTGTCCAAAGAGACGACATTTGTTTTCACAAAATTACAAAACCCTGAAGCAATCCCTACAAAACGTGAACGCACCTTTTACCAACTTTGCCAGGTTGAAAGATTGTAAAAAAAAGGTATTAAAGCCCCACCTCCAAGGTTTTTTTTATACAATTATATAGCCCCTAACAGAGTGGAAGCTCTATTGATGTACACATGGTTTGTCAGCTTGTTGGTGCCGGGCAGCCCCACTACACACGATGATGTCACCTGTGGCAGACCCCTCAAGTTGAAATGCGCGATCGAGGCCATTGTGGGGTTCCTGAGATCGACTCGTGGCAGCGTGAGAACAGCGGCAATGAGGGGGAGATGGAATCGCCGCGTCCGTGAGATTCGAAGCGCCGAGTGTGAAGCACGCGGCGAGCGTGAGAACGGCTCCTGATGCCGCGAGAGTGCAAGCCGACTGCGAGACACGTGGAGCAGGAAGTCCGGGGCCCTCTAGGGGGCTCTCTGGAGATCCCTCCAGTGGAGGCTCTTCCCAACAAGCACACGCATGACCAATTACACAGCTTGTATCATTTGCTCAGTTTTATTTAATATGTACAAAAATATTGTGAGCTGGATATTATTATTTTCGAGAATCGATGTTGATCGATGAATCATGACATTCCTACCATGCACAGCGACGCATACCCTGCACATAGACTTGCATAGATAACATTTCGTATTAAGCAAGGTTTATTATCTCTACTTAAACGCGTATTATAACTAAAGTACAGCTAATGCTACATGACATAATGTTAATCTAACACAACCGTATGGACTTACACATTTACAAAAAAATCTAACTTATTTGAGTTGGGTTATAATTTAGAACATGTTCATAAATGAGTCGCTGTAATGTGAGCTTTAGGTGACTGTTGATCAAATTGGTCTCACTCGAGCTCTGCACTGAAACATCGGCCAGATTGGGGTCGCGCTGACACTGCGCACCCTGCAGAGCGTGCTCGTGTTTGCTGTGGTGGTCGCACCAATGTCGATTTTTTTTTCTGTTAGTGCGTCACATATATGACTTGCTATAGACTGCGTTACAGGTGGTTGTGTATAAAGGTCAGATTTGTGTAAAGGTCAGATATGTGAGCATCAATCGAAGATGACCGCTACAGCGTGCACAAGCACAGTGCTGGGTGTGGTGGTTAATTGGGCAAAGTGGATAGATGACGGTCAGATATGGAAGGATGTACTGTATATACATTAAAAAACTATAAATAACATAAATTATAAATGAGCACATTTGGCCTTAATGGAGAAAAGACAGGGTACGTTACACAGGATGCACTGCAGCACCTAACACCGACTCTGCAAGCCCACAGTCTGAGTGTTCACGGTTTTATGATTTATGGTCAGACGTCATGAACGCATCTGCAAATATGCAATGAACGGCGCGTGCTATTCTGTGGATTAACACCCCCACCAAGAAAACATGTAACTTCATATATCCATTGCAAAACACACTTTTCTTAAATTTTACAAACTAATAATCTGACATTGGCTGACCAATATGAAAGTCCTCAAAGTGACACGTGCCGGATAATGTGTAACAGCTGTGGTGACACGTGGGATGTCGCTGTCGAACTCGCAACATCCTCACGATTTGTGCTTGTGGAGGGAAACGGCTGCCCGTGAGAGAGAGGGGAGGAGTAGATAGGCCGGGGCGAGATGAGAGGGCACAGGGTGTGATGGTTGGCAACTGAGACGGGATGTTGGGTCGCTAAGTGGCAGTGTTATTTAAGTCAACTCCACTTGGAGAAATCCTGTTAATTCACGACAATAATGCTGCATTCTCTACGTATGTATGTTTAACTTCTTTCGCACCATACGCGGCCAACCGCGTTAATCGCAGGACAACGAGAAGTATTTAATCAAAACTGCAATGGTCTGAGACAATTAGCCTTGTGCCAAGAGATGCCACGTGTGGTGAATTGAGATCTAATTTTACGATCAGATCCTGCTGCTTCCTGTGCCGGCTCGCATTACCACAACGGCCTCAGTTTGCTTGTAATAGTATTTGAAACATAATGCTGTTGATATAATGATTTAGATATTACTGTTGTCCATTGCATGAACAGTAGTAATTTACATTCTATATCTGTGAGTCTTGGAATCATTTTAGAGATACGGTGCTTCCAACGACTGCCACGCACCGCCCATTGTTCGGGTGAATAACTTCGCGTGGAGGTGACATGACCATTAGGAGGTCAGTCGCAGACGTTGACCGCGAGAGGTGGAGAGAGTTGAACGCCAAAGCATCACTGGAGTCCCCACAGTGCCACGGTTAAGGGACCGGTGGCGATGATGATGCCGATATCGGACATGGAGGCATCCGATGGCATCGTGGTTTGAGAGCTCAACTCACCATGACAGGTTGCAAGTTGAAATCCTAATCGGACAGGAACGGAACGAATCTATATTCCCATTGGAGTTTGTAAAATTGGTTTGTAAGAAGTCAGTCGCGGTTGTGATATTGAGAAAGTGTTCCCTGACCTGTTACTGTGGAATTTACAACACTGGCTCAGGAATACCAACAGCAATGAGCGCTGTTGTGTGAGGATGGCAACATTCTAACTCGGACTTCTTATAAAATAAAAATTAGTAAATTTCGGGAACGCTTACCGAATAATATGAAAATGTAAAATTTTAAGACAATAAATACAACATACGCCTAAAACTAAAGACTGAATGATAACAACATTTTGAAAATAAGTTAAATTTAAACAACACCAACAATCAACCGCAATGGGAGGAGGCACAGCGAGCTGCCAGCCGAGGCGAGTGGCTGGGATGGTGACTCAGAGAAACATCACCACCACACGAACTTATCCCAGCTCCAGCCTCCTCCTGGAGGTGTGGTGCTCGGTGAGGTTGCTTCTGAAGGTGCTGCGCTCGGTGAGCTTGCTTCTGAAGGTGCAGTGCTCGGTGAGGTTGCTCCTGGAGGTGTGGAGCTCAGTGAGGTTGCTCCTGGAGGTGCAGTGCTTGGTGAGGTTGCTCCTGAAGCCATGTTTCTCGGTGATGTTGTCACTGGAAGTGCAGGGGAAGCACCGAATGTCCCGAGCTGCTTTCAGGGTAGAATCCGTAGGAGAGAAGGAAGAGCAGCAGCTCCTTGATCTCGAGTTTCTCTCCCCACAGCCCTGCACCTAGGCCGCTGTGATAACACCGCAATCACATGGGAAACAAAAACGATCCACGTTAAGTTAACATAATAATTACACGATGAATGCATAATGCTCCTGGTCTTTTTATACTGTTGAGCTGTGGCCTACGTGTATGTGCACGAAGTAAGATTTTAACTATGCCCTATCAAAGTGAAACGCGTGTGTTAAATCAGTTTGCGCTGTAATTCATTATCTCTATTGCAAGGGATGTGAGTTACTGGAGCTGAGCAGGAGGTAGTTATTGAGTCGAACATATCATTTATTTGCTCGGGATTTAAAATCCATCGTGCAGTCTCGCGTACAGCCACCTGACGGCGCTACTCTCGTAAGAACATGAAGATGGAACAAAAACTAAGAAGCACACAAATCAGGTTGGGAAGCGCTGGAGCTGTGGCGTGGGACCGCTGTCCTGTGTCCACGCCATAGCTACGGAGCCCGCTCTGTCAGTCAATCTGAGATGGGCGATGTTCTCCCCATCTCTGGCTCTCCTTGATCTCCGCGTTGCGCATCCTCTGTGTGCCCCCCCCCGCTGCTGCTGCTGTGGTGAGCAGCGCACACTCACAGCTGGTGCTGCTGTAGCCCCCCTGGCTCGCTCCCCGCCTCCCTGGGGACAAGGGCAGGGGAGGAGGCAGCGCGTGACTCAGTGGAGCGGACGCACAGCAGCACAACCACAGCAGCACAACCACAGCAACTACAACAACCACAACCGCTACCACAACCACCACAGTCATTACCACACAACGACTGCAACCACAACTGCTGCCAAACCCACCACAACTGTAACCACCACAGCTACGACAAGCACCAACAACAACAATCACCATTCGCCACTAGTTCGCGGTAATGTCACCACGGGGCATGTGCCAGGCTATGTGCACTTTAATTCCACGTGAAGTGTCAAACGCCCGCCTGGCAGGAGGTCAGGGGACAGATCCAGAAAGTGCCTTGAGTTGACTGAGATGACTGGCAGACAAACCACCTGTGCCTCTACTGTGCCAACTTGCTGTGTTTTAGCCTCCTGACTCTGCGCTCGTTGTTGTGAGCGTCGCTCCTCTGCCTTCCATTGTTGCTGGAGGGTGACGACATTCAACTGCCCAGTAACATCCTTCACGATCCTCCTCCATAGAGGCCGATCTTGATACCGCTGGTACCAATCATTGACAAGTCCACTCAGCTCCCTTTCCTTTCATGCCACATCATTCCATTGCAGGGGTGGTTTCTTCATTAGGGCGATTGGGCGACGCACCACCAATGTCATTCAACCAGAGTTTCGCGAGCCGTTACTGTGCCTCTGGATATAGTCCAATCAGCGTCATGCTACGTTCTGTGGAGTACCGCCTCTTTTTGGGCGATTTCACTCCGGCTGAGAATCGCCCCGAGTGTTCCCATAGACTTACATTCAAAGATGTTTTTTTTCGAACGGCGGGCGCTGCAATGCATTCTCTATGGCTTCCGGGAGGGCTCGCACTAACGTGCTTACGTCATCATACGTAAGCACGTTTCAGTCAACAATATTATTTGTCGCCACCTAGTGGAATCTTTAATAAAAGAAACTGAGTGGATTGTAATAATAGTGAGTATAGAAACAAACAAGATGTATTGTAAGAGTCACTTTATTTTTCATTAATATTAAAGAAGTGAAGTTGCCTTTACATGCTTAAGCTGTTAATTTATCCATTGCATGGGTGGACCTTATCCTTATCAATCATCAAGACATTTGCCCCCCCTGAGAGATTTTGCAGGAGCCGCCACTGTTCCATTGCTTCTCTAAAAATTATTAAAATGTATAAAGCGCCCTTAAACAAAAGTTAACAGGGTGCTAGCCCGTTTAGTCCCCTCTATCTAGCCGAACAAAAGCTATCATGCGTCTTGTAAGGTGTGGGAGTACGCACACTTTACCCCATCACACGCGACCTGCCGATCGACTGTGGCATACCCATTGACACTGCTCAGTGGACAGAGGTGGGGGGGGGTTTAAGAAACTTGTACCATCGTTTCAACTGCTGGCGACTTTTGGATTGCGAATGCAGTGCGCTACAAATAACATGCACATAAGCTGGCAGATGTGACACACAGAGCAGTACAGCCTGTCCTGTCCGTGTGTGCACATGCACGTGTGTGAGTGTGTGCACATGCACGTGTTTGTGAGTGGGTGTGTCTTTGTGACAAAGGACAGATTGGTAGTGTAACTGTCTGCGCTACAAACCAGGTGACTCAAGATTCGATTCCTGCTGACGGCCTCCCCTAGATCGACTCAAGCCTCAAAGAAGTACCTGGTGCGGTGTGTAAACATCACCACTATGGAGACAAAGATGTGGATGCTGGCCACCCACCCATCCTTCGTGTGCCGTCCCAGCCTTCATAGTTGTTCGCTAACAGCACTTGCTCCAACAGTCTGTTAAGGCTATACGGGGAATCTTTGTTTTTTGTGTGAATACATCTGAAGTGCTGGTTCTCACGTCTTCGCAAGTAGAGGATGAGCAGAACCAGTACCACCGGAACCACCAGAACGACCACCACCACTGCAACCACAGCTCCAGCTGGTAGAGACACAAATACAAACATGAGTGTCAACACACACACGCACATTCACACACACACACACAGAGTGTTAATACACACACAGAGAGTGTCAACACACACACGCATTCACACGAACGCACCACCGTCGCAGCCAGAGTCGTTTTAAAGAGGGAGGGCCCGGCGTGAGCCCCCCCCCACGCGCGGTCCCCGCTCAGCGCCGTGCAGCGACACTCGCCCTGCACTCTCCACTGCAGGGGAAACCGTTCCATGCAAGCGAGGAGTGTCACATCGACCATGGCAGTGAACGGCGCTTTGTCCGTCCACTGTTGGATGAAATGACCCCTGCGCCGTCGGTCACGGGGGTTGTTTAGCCATACTTCACCGCGCTGGCCACTGCTGGTTGAATTGACGGGAAACCCAGTGCCGGGTCAGATGCCGCTCGTCACCGATGTTAGCCGTGGCTGGAAATCGAACTTGCCGGGTTACGTCGCGCAGTGCGCTAACCACTGCACCACCACTCCACCTCTATACGCACATAATTTGGCTATAATGACACTTCAACAATTCCCACGCGAACGCTTCCACGTGTGTGCGGAGAGCACAGGGATTGATCCTGTTCGACGAATCGTGAGCATTGACGGCGCATGTTGTGTGTACTCGTGCTTGCATACGCTCCAGGCCGCGTGTGCGTGTACTCGTGCTTGTGTGTGCTCCAGGCCGCGTGTGCGTGCGCGCTCATACCCGGCATGCTCGCCGTGTCCAGGTGCTTGCAGGCGGCGATGTCCAGGGTGCAGTTGCGGTGGTCGCACTCTGCACCGAGGGACAACGGCACCACAAAGGAGACAGCGTAAGCACGTGGTGAGGCACGGCCACTGCTCAGCCACTCACCCCGGGTTTTCACCCTGGCCTGGGTGCTGCGCTTAGGAACGTGGCTAAGGTTTTAAAAACAATTACTTGGGTGTTGTCCGTGTGTCCCGCGAGGGGCTCACGGTGCGGGACTCACCGAGTGGGTAGTCGGTGGAGACGAACGCGCACAGCGTGAGGTTGAACACCCGGTGAGACGCTACACACGAGGCACACACACACACACAGGGCACCCATTATTGAGATATATCCACACACACACAGGGCACCCAGTGAGATATTTCCACACACACACAGGGCACCCAGTGAGAGATATCCACACACCACACACACGGCACCCAGTGAGAGATAGCCACACACAGATATATAAATATAAAAACACGAATTCTAATGCAAGCATGTCGATGCATGTATCGTGAGCATTAAGAGTCGGAATGAGTCGATGTATAGACGCGGTGTACCTACAGCCCTAATCAGTCTCCCTGCCCTACACGGGAATCGCGCTCTCAGTCTCCAGGGCGCTCGCAACACGGCCCAGCCTCGGGTCACAGGGGCGTAGGGGGGAGTGGAGGGGAGTGGGAGCTGTGGAGGCATGGGTGGGGGGGGTAGCGGGGGGAAGGAAGGACCCTCCCTGCTCACCGGGGTTCTGAGCGAGCTCGTGGTGGTAGTTGTGGAAGCACTCCGTGTTGTTGAAGCAGCTGTTGAGCGCGCATTCTGCACAGTGGACGCACAGAGACGCGACTGAAAAACGCTCACACACAGAGGCACTCACAGCAATGACAGCGCGCTCTCGAATAACAGTGACAATTATTCAACCCAGGTAAACCTTGCTCAGTCTGGCACTTATTCTTTAGGACAATCCTGCATTGGGATGTTAGCTAATTTCAAAACAACAATGCAATATACGTATACACTATTTCACAGACATAAATGTCCGTGACTCTGAAGCACGGGGGTTGTTAGTGGTCAACTGTGCTCTTGGCTCCTGTAAACGAGTTGGCCAGTGGTGGCCTTTACCAAGTTACCAAGTTGTTTATGATGGTGGAAGTCGGGCCTGGGCAGTTGAGATGGCATGGGAACACCAACAGATGGGGCACGCTGCAGACATGACAGTAGAGGTGTGGATGGGTGGGTGATGGTTGGTCAGCTGTGGTGGGAGATACTCACCCACAAGGTCGTCGGAGACGTGCGGCCGCTTCAGCAGGGCTTCAGCTGCATTGGGAGGAGGGGTGAAACACAAGACACGCACCGCTAGTACAGCCGCCACCACACTCATGGGGCAAGTGCTGTTAGTGAGCACCTATTAAGACTGACGTGTCACATGAGTGGGTCGTGTGGCTACCGAGTGCTAATGTTTACACATTGCACAACGGAGGCCCAGGACTGGTTCAGAATTTACTCCCCACTGATTGCTACCGTGGTCGAGCATCAATCTCTGGTCACCATGGTGCAGAGCACGGTGCGCTAACCACTGCACCACCACTCGTCCACACAGCCAGGCACCCCCGGTCTCACCCATACCTCGCTGTGACCCCATCTCCACTTCCACGTCCGGTGGGGCTCCCCTCCTCACACTGACACCACACAGCTCAGGCTATCACAACGCGATGCAGTACGATACACGAGCATCTCCTTAGGCAGTGGAACACACACCGGGAGTGCGTGCCGCTCTACTGCACGGTGCCTGACAATTTGCCTGAACCACATGGGGAGCGGTGCTTCAGGCCGTATGGGAATTGTTCAAAATCCCCTCAGTTCCTTGCAAGTGTCGTCAGAGCCCACGCAGCACACATGTTGTGTTCACAGGGGCTACTGCATCGGGATGCAACCCGTGTAGTGTTTTACATTTCACAGCAGCAGATGGAGTGGCCCTTTTTGTTGAATCTCACAATGGCCAAGAAATACTTTATATAATGAACTTCAAGACTGTACTAATGACGACTCCTACGTAGCTATGCGAGTTAACGATTTGATCTTATGGGAAACACAATTCAGGCACTACTGGGCATCATTTGGTGACATTCACAGTGGAAGGCTCTGTAATTAAGGGGGAGCTGAGGTGAATGCAAACAATTTACAGTCAATTTGTGGACAAAGGCCTCCCCACGCCGTGTCGGTCATGGGTGTTGATTGACCATACTTCACCATGCTGGTCATTATAGATTCGTGAAGGTGCCAGGACCGGTTGAAATGCCACTCGCCGCCGACGTTCGCCGTGGCTTTTGAATGGACCTCGGGCTGCAGAGTTCACATCGCGGTGGTGCGCCGATGACCGCTACGGCTACGACTACGCGCTGTGCCTGTGGCTATGGACGGCAGCGGCGTCTCCCCTGCGAGGGAGCGAGGATCACGCCAGGTTAGCCCTGAGCGGTGCCGCTGGGCGCCGCTCACGGGCAGCTGGCACACGGAGCGCACTGGGCCAGCCCCGGCCCACGGGAGCGGGCACGATGAGACGCCAGCAGCACCGTCCGCACTCACCCTGAGTGCGGACGATGTTCGACCACACCTTGTTGAAACACTCGCGCTTGACCTTCAAGTAGCCCTGAGCCTTGCAATCTGCTCGCACACGCGCACACCCACAAAGATCGCGCGCGTTCACTCAGACTGTTAGGACAGCTGTTGCCACTGGGCAGCTATGGAGAAGGGCACAGCGCCCCGAGGGGTGGTGTGGCCAGCATCGTGCGCGGCGATCTTTGTCTCCGCAGTGATCATGTTTTACACACTGTAATAGGTACCCATTGTAAGGCTGAGTGGACCTAGAGGAGGTCCAGGACAAGTGCAGACACGACTTGTCACTGATGTTAGCCCTGCTCAGGAGTTGACCCCATCTCACTGGGTTGATGGTGGAGTGCGCAAGCCACTATGCCAGCCACTCCCGCACATTCATAAAAGAACAAAGATCCCCCATATAGCTTTAACAGACTGTAGGAGCAAGTGCTGTTAGCGAGCACCGATGAAAGCCGGCACGGCACCCGAGAGGGTGAGTGGCCAGCACCACTGCTGGCCGCCTTTGTCTCCCTAGCACCGATGTTTACACACCATAGCAGGTACTCATTTGAGGCTGAGTCGATCTAAGGGAGGCTCAGGAAAGGGTTAAGATAATCGTCACTGCTGTTGACCGTGAGCGCGAATCGAACCCAGGTCGCACGGGATCAGTAGCGCAGCGCGCTAACCGCCCTGCCGCCACACCTCCCCCCATGTGCATACACACAAACACACACGCCCACTAGCCTCACAGACCAGTGCTGTGTGGGTAATGTTTGTGAATTTATGCATTGAAGTACTTACGTGTGGGGTCGCCATGTCTGTGCTGTGCAGGTATGCGTCCATGACAGCTAGGCAGGTGTGTGGGTTAACATGTGGGCAGGGGAGGGTGGACTCATGAACAGGGGTGGAGATGTGCAGGTGGACAGGTATATGGGTGGACAGGTAGACAGGAGGAAGTGTATGTGTATCTGGACAGGTGTGTTTACCTGGGTAGATGGAATAGGCTGGTGTGTAGGTACACAGGTGTGAGTGAGTGAGAGTGTGTGTACATGGACAGGTGTGAGTGACTGTGTGTACATGGACATGTGTGAGTGAGTGGACATGAACAAGTGTGAGTGAGTGTGTGTACATGGACAGGGTGAGTGAGTGTACATGGACATGTGTGAGTGAGTGTACATGGACAGGTGTGAGTGTGTGTATATGGACAGGTGTGAGTGAGTGTGTACACGTGCAGGTGTGTGTGCTCGCTGTGCCGATGCTGCCGAGGTCCCAGCTCACCGGTCAGCTCCGCCATCGACGTCCTGTGCAGGAGGAGGCAGTCCAGGTCGCTGCGGTCGAAGCCATCCCCCTCGCACACTGAGAGCAGCACAGAGGGGGCCGGGGAGCGCCGACCGTGTTACCGCCGCCGGAGCCACGCGCTCGCCCGGCGCGAGGGCAGCTGCAGTGCCGCTAAACCCCCCGGGGCTACAGACGCCTCAGCCGAGCGCGCCGCCCGATCTGAACGCCCACGCAGAGCCCTCGAAATAGCAGCAGTGTGATGCCCCTGTAGACCCATTGTAGCTCATTCACAGTGGGGTGTCCCTGTAGACCCATTGTAGCTCATTCACAGTGGGGTGCCCCTGTAGACCCATTGTAGCTCATTCACAGTGGGGTGCCCCTGTAGACCCATTGTATCTCATTCACAGTGGGGTGTCCCTGTAGACCCAGTGTAGCTCATTCACAGTGGGGTGCCCCTGTAGACCCATTGTAGCTCATTCACAGTGGGGTGTCCCTGTAGATCCATTGTCGCCCATTCACAGTGGGGTGCCCCTGTAGACCCATTGGAGATCATCATTCACAGGCCGTGTTGTTCATTATGTCGTCGTCTATATGACAACTCCATGAACAAGCAATGCAAGAGAAAGGTACAAAAACACCATGGGAACCACCAACAGCTCCGAGACAATTCTGCACTGCACCATCCCCTGCTGCAGTAGACGCGGCACAGTGCCACACAGCACGAGACGGGGACGTCGCAGGGCAGCGTGGAGACGCCGCTGACAGCGAGGCAGCAACGTTGATGCGCTGGGAGTGCGATGTTTATTGTTTTCGATGTTTATTGTTAACGTTGAGAGGCTCCCGCCGTGTGCGGGGTGCAGTGCACATGCGTGACTACCCCACTGCGTACCGGTGTCAGAAACGACCAGAGGTGGGACAAAGTCATTGTTATGCAAGTCCAAGTCGAGTCTGAAGTCATCAAATTCATGACTCGAGTCTGACTCGAGTCCAAGTCACATGACTCGAGTCCACACCTCAGAGGTGGGACAAAGTCATTGTTATGCAAGTCCAAGTCGAGTCTGAAGTCATCAAATTCATGACTCGAGTCTGACTCGAGTCCAAGTCACATGACTCGAGTCCACACCTCTGGAAACGACACCACACATTTTACATAAGCCGCAGATACACTTTGATCGTTATGATGCACGTCGTGTCTTCTATTGGTCCAGCCTTTTGCTCGTCAATTGATAAGAGGCCCAAGCTCTCAGACCAATTAAGCATCAAGTTAGGGGACTGAAGCACTCTCTCGTCCATAGAGCTGGAGACAGCGCCCTCTCGTGGTCGTGTAAAATTGTAATTTGATGGGTAAAGGGCAAAGGGCTGTGCAGCCAATTCCAGACGTCACAATGCGATATTATGTGGCTCTGTTCTTTCTAAGAGATCTAGGAGTGAAAGTAAATGAGTAATTACGTTGCTCTCTGATGTGTTTTTGCGTTGTTGTGCCGCGAGTTTTCAGCATCACGTCCGACATTTCGCTCCACGTGGGATCAAGCAACTTGGAGGTGGGGTTGGTGGCTTACACTGAGATGGAGCCATCATGGTCTTGAGCAATCCAGCTACAGGTGAGAATCCCACCCCACCCCCAGCGCCTTTGGGAGGCAGTAGGTTGACTCAGTATTACCCCGTGCAGTGAATAAATACCAACATGGAGGAGGCTACTCGGGGTAGCGTGACCACACCTCCCCCTCGCGTGTCTTGCCGTCCTTAATAGGTGCTCATTAACAGCACTCTCCCCCACGGTCTGTATGGCTGGACGGGCTAACTTTGTGTCTTGTTGTGACAGAGACAGCCATGTAGCACTGTGACAGTCACGAGTGATTATTACATCGTGTGTACGCAGTGATATGTTTTATCTGCAATTATGTTGAAGACACTGTTGGATAAAAGTATTATTTGCGACTATCCGCAAAAATAAATCCATCAGTTTGCAAAGTTAATTGTGGATAAACGTGGGTAAAAGGATGCATTGGGGGAAGATACCCAGGTGTTACGGGTTTATTGGGGTGACACAGTGCATGCACACTCGGAACAGGCAGTGCACAGCATGCAGACGGTCCCTCTAACTCGCGTGTATTCTCTCTCTAACGCGCGTGCATTCTCCAATCCACGTGTTTCTCTTCTTGTCTATCTGTGTAATGATTAGTACGTGTCTTGCGATGCACTTCTGTTTCACACTTTTCAGAATTGTGTTCAATTTCCTGTGTCATTGTTCAGGTCTCCGATCCGTTAGTCATAGCAGGGAACATGCACTGCTACTGTGCAATGAACACATTGAATTCTGCCCAACAAATGCCTACTGAGCATGCATTTTAGTTTAATGTGTCACTCTAGAATTCTTTACCTACTCATAGCATCATTTCCAAATAGGGTTTAGCCCGTTTGCTCCCAGCACCTGCCGAGAGAGCTGAGTGTGCACGCTGCACAGCGCTAGAAATGCAGCGCACGGCACACACGCACTATGGCCCAGGCGAGGTGCTGACGGGGTGAGTCCTGGGGCACAGTTCACGAGCGCTTTAACACGAGGGACTGTGTCCATCACATGGCCACGTGAGAGCCTCTCAGATGCATCACCGCTCTCTAACTGCGGGCATGAGTAATCACAACATGGCAACTACTGTCGTGGGCGGCTTTATTTTTAGATTCAATTCCAACCCCCACCCCCTCCCCAAGCAAATCCTTGAATTGTTCCAATGCAGGGGCACGATGAAATTCAATTATAATCGACCCTGTGTATCAGCTGCTGCTGCCGTTGTACAATGGCTGAGTCCCCTGGACTTGAAAACCAGAAGTCGACTTTTCGATTCAGAGCCGTCCGTCTCTCACCTTCAGCACCCGAGAGGTTCTTGTTGAGTGGCGCCTCGCACTTCGACTTGACCTCCATACAGAGTCGCATCTGACACTCTGCAGCACAGGGAGCGAGCGAGAAGAATGTGATACATATATTGGACACGTGCAAATATGATATTTGTAAAGGTGATAATCACGTCGGGTGGTGCAGGGTTCATGACAATAATTTTGGCATAAAAATTCCAAATGTGACTTCACCCACAGACAAATATGGGATCGCAAGTATTTCAGAAACCTACCTTTTAAATTTACGTTTTGATGAGACACGAGTGGTTTAAGGCGTTAAACAGAAAGTTGTGTAGAACTAAATAAGAAACTGATGGTTGCTTTACCGCAAGCGTGGAACCATTGAATACAACAGACTACCCAGGTCCTGTGGCCTGTTCACAGCTGTTGGTGGTTGGTGGCAGGATGCATTTTGGCTGCGTGGTGTCCAGTGGCAGGTGGTGGGGGTTGACCCTGTTTCAAAGTTCGTTTGGAAACCATGAGCATTGGATAACATTGCACAAGCAGTGATTCCACTTCATGTAAACATGTGCCTAAAATAGGGACACGCTTTCACTCAGCAGAGAAGTTAACTTTCGTAACAGATGCCTGGAAGGGTTGACTTGTTCCTCTTTTAATTAAAGTTTGCAAATGTTTCAATTTGATAAGTGGACTCTCTTAGAGCTCTTGATGGAACCGAGCCACTTTGTGCCGCGCCCAGGGGCTGTGACTGCCCCCCCAAAGCCTCCCTCCCCCCATCACCATTGCGAAGAGCGAACTCGTACGGCTGCTGGCTCGGAGATCAGAGCGCGGAGCCGGCACAGCCGACTCGCCCCCTGGGTTCCAGCCGAGGCATCGGCCACACGTGGCTCTCAAGGGCAGCGAGCTGATGGACCTCCCACGGAGGGAAGGTTGACTGGGAGGCTTCGATAGAAAGCCTTGGTAGCCGAGTGGAGAGTACAGAGAGGGCAGTAGAGTGAGGTGAGAGGTAGGAGAGAGTGTGGAGGGGGAGTAGAGTGAGATCAGAGGGGAAAGGTAGGAGACAGCGTGGAGGGGAGGGGAGTGATAAGAGAGGGAGAGATAGCAGAGATCGTGGAGAATGCGGTAGTGAGATAGTGAGACGAAAGGGGAGAGGTGGCCAGCGATGAGTGCAGAAGGATCCGGGATCGATGTGCTTCGCCATATGTGGGGTGAGGGATGGTTGGGCCCTCGTGTCACCGTGCATCTCCCGCGCAAGATGCAGGCCACGTGCACCTGGCCTGGTACCACTCAGAGTCTCCCTCACCTGAATCGGTGCTTTCCTGTCCGGTCCTCATCTGGCAAACTTGTGAGGCTTCGAGGCACTTCGTGTATTTGCATTCTGAAGCAGAGAAGAGATGCATCGGGATGGAGAGGTTAGCAATGGACGTGGTGGGGGGGGGGGGGTAGAAACTGATATCGATTCCCCTGATTTCCCGCGGTTCGCACATCGATCACGTGATTAGGGATCGGTTTGCTTTTCGTCTCAACTTGTACAAAACTGCTGTGTAAATAGGACCATACGACTCATTGTGCCGATAAATTCACCACAGTGTTAAAAATAGACAATCGATGCTTGAATGTAATCACGGCCCTGATTCGCGTCAATGTATTGAACCACCGGGGGGAGGGAGAGAGGAGATTCGCCGCTCCCCGACTGCCCATTCAGCGCAGCCACGCTGCCAGCCTGCCCCTGCGTCTTACGGCGAGACTGCTTCACAAATCAATGCAGTTTCCCGGATACGTAGATGACACTTTGTATTATATTTTGTGTATCACGCATTGTAACACGAATGAGCGTGCTCATTTCCTGAGTCAGGTAAATTACGCCACCTGCCACTGCGAGGCTCTCGGCGTCCCCACCGCTCCGTGAGAGCCGTCTGCCTCGCAGCGCCCCGCCAGAGCGCTACGCCCACGTCACTCATTCATTTATTTTCTTTACTTTACCAGCCAAGGCCCACTGAGCTGTATAGCTCTTTTCAGAAGCGACCTGGCCACAAATGATAGCTCAGCAAAGTGACTTATCACGTGTAAATATACATCAGGCAAATACTCTAAACGCATGTTTATAAATGTGGAGGGAAAACTGGAGGACTTGGGGAAATCCACACGACCATTTGGCCGATGCAGCCAGCACGTGACGGGATCAGAGGGGATACTCAACAGGGGATGTTTGGCCACCACATTGACGACATGTCGCAGAAGCGGAATTAAGATTCAGATTCAACTTCTGTGAATTACAGCAGAAGTACCAATCCACTTCCTGAGCGGACAATTATATATTTTGAAACCACCAAAACGACTTCTCTGTATGCTAGGATATTACAACAACACAGGTGCAACACAGGCATGTACACACAAATGCGTACACAGTCACACAAAGACACAGAGAAGTACAAAGACAAAGGGCCCCGATGTAGCCTTAACAGGCTGTTGGAGAGAGTGCCGTTCGTGAGATCTGATGAAGGCCGGCACGGCACACAAAGTGGGGTGGCTACGTTCGTGATCTCCGACGAAGGCCGGCACGGCACACAAAGTGGGGTGGCTCCCTCCACACCCGGCCACATTTGCTGTCCAGCGCTGATCGCACGCCGCAGCGAGTACTCATTTAAGCCCGAGTCGACCTTGGGGAGGTCCAAGACTGGTGCGGATATCGCTCGCCACTCATCTTAGCCATGGCTCAGAATCAAATTCGGGCTGCCAGGTTCGTGGTGCAAAGACAAATATCTCCCTTATAGCAAAAGCAGACTTTTGTGGGAAGTTAGCACCAAGCCTGGCCACTAATGTCTCCATAGTGGCGATGTTTACACACCGTACCAGGTACTCGTTTGAGGCTGAGTCGACCTAGGGAAGGCCCATGACCGGTTAAAATATTCGTCACTGTTGGTGGCCGTGAACAGAAATCAAACTCGATTCGCCGGGTTCATAGTGTAACGCATTAACCGCTGCATGTGCAACAACAACAACCGCCATTCGCCACAAAGTGGCGGTGACGTCACCACGACGCTTGTGCCAGGCAAAGACACATGCACACACACACGTTAAGACATATACACTCGCGTCACAACATACACACGCGTCACGACACACTACTTCACCACGCCGTGAATTACTGAGCCAGATTTGTGACGTTTAGTCTACGCTGCTCCATGCAGTTTGTTCCATTAGTTCAAAGGCCGCGCGTGATTGACGGTGGAACGAGAGCCGGCGCCAGGGGCCGGTGCGGCCCGGGGAGCTGAGAGCCGCCCGGCTTAGAGTGAGGCCGGCAGCGTGCAGCGCACGGAGCGAGGGGCCAGCGGTGCTGCCGCGGCGATCGGCACGGGGCCTTCGCCACCGTCGCGAGCTTCCCACAATAATCGGTCCCATGGACCCTGCAGTCCAGAGGTCGCCCGTTAAGTTCGATCTCCCAGCGCGGCAGCCCGGTAATGGACTATCTAAATATTTAAATAAGCTGACAAGTTTTGAATGTCCCTTGTGGCTTCGTGTTTTTGTTTTATTTGTTGAGCGCTGCTCTCTGATGGAACGTGACAATGAGACAACTTTCGTGGCTGCGGGAGCGACCGAACAGAGGAAGTTCTAATTCTTGGATTGCATGGAACTCCAACTTCCTCTCTGCAGTGGCTTTCACGGGTTGTGCACGTGGCGATTCTCCACGGTTCGAGGCAGAAATCTCGAACCCTGTGAGTTCAGTACCCGAGACACGTTTACCCGTGTGGACCTCCTTCACGCCGTTCACTATCTGTAGGTCTCATGAGAAGAAAGGGATCTGTCAAGTCTGTTGCCTAGCGACCCCATCATAAACCGACGTAACGTTGTTAACAGGCAGTGCAATGTTTCCAGATGGCCCCTCTGTCTCAGTGCAAGTCCCAGCAAGCACCTCTACAAGCTTCGTGTATTTTTAAGATTTTGTTAAGTTGCCTTTGTCATTATCTGTGGTTGTGCCCCTGCACAACCACAGCCTATTGGAGGGGCGCACCTCCGGTTGGCTGCTTGCTCGCGGTCACGTGATGCACTTCAACCAATCCGGGGGCGTTAATCACAGTCACAGAAGGGACATATCTGGACTATTATATATGTGTGTGTCTGTGTGTATGTGTGTTTGTGTCTGTGTGTGTCAGCATGTGTGTATGTACACACACATTAGCGTAAACGGTAAACGCAGAAAAAACTCTGTTGTGTCCTCTTAATTGAACACCGTATCATGCCTTTACGATGCATTAAATACCCCCGTGTTTGTGTGTGGACTTATTTGTATGGATGAGTCGACCTAGGGGAGGCCCAGGACCAGTTCAAATATTTGCCACTGTTCATGGCCATGAGCGACAATCTAACTTAGGTAGCCAGGTTGGTGGTACAATGCGCTCACTACGACGTTACCGCTCCCCACTGTATACACATCAACGTGTACACACACAACGCCACTGCCACCACATGCACTGTGCACATGCCCTGGGTGACACGGAGCATGCACCATCACTCTCAAGAGGTGGTACTCACAGGAACCAGTACTCACTCTCAATAGGCCGATACTCACTTGCAGGAGCCAGCACTCACTCACAATAGGCCGGTACTCACTCACAGGAGCCAGCACTCACTCTCAATAGGCCATTACTCACTCACAAGAACCAGTACTCACTCTCAGTAGGCCGGTACTCACTCACAGGAGCCAGTACTCACTCTTAATAGGCCGGTACTCACAGGAGCCAGCACTCACTCTCAATAGGCCGGTACTCACTCACCGTGGATCGCCTGGAGAGAAAAGCCACATTTGTTCACGATCTCTTCGTCCGAGGGCTCTGCAAGACGAGGGCAGCAGGGCACAGATTGCGTAAGACGCACGGCACACGCAGCAACAACGCGCATCGAGCGGTAGCGTTGAAGCCAGTCGCTCTCACGGTAACAACACATCGTACGTGGACACCACCTGGGAGGATGATGAGAACCCATGACCGACTCAGCTGGCGCAGGCCTTCATCCAGCAGTGGATCGATTGAGAAAGATCCCTACATGAGCATTCACTACCCGTGGCTACCATGGTTCTGTGTCAAGCTTCTGCTGTGATGAAGACCTCCTCCACGTTGTGATGTTCAGTCGGTGCCACTGGTGCAAGCCGTGGGTGGGAATTAAACTCGAGGTCAGGGATCGAGCACGTGGCTACGAGGGGCCAGGTTCAGAGTTTAATAGTGCACTCTGCCACCGCTCGCTCCCACCTCATTGACTATCAGGGCTACGTTGCTGTGGCAGTACCTCTATTGGAGATGGCTGCAGGCGTTGCGCAGAGGGGGTGGACCGCGAGACGCGCGCCGTGGAACCACGGGCGCGCTGCCCGCACGAGGGGCGCGTGCCGGGTTAACGCGGCGGGGAAAACCCCCTCGCTCCGCCCGGGGGAACAGACGGATTCGGGCAATCGCTCGCCCAACACCACCCACCCCTCTCTCTCTCTCCCACCCGCCCCATCGCCCACTGGGATTCAGTACCGCGCCACGGCTCATTCGAGTTCTCTTCTTCTCTCGTTTGTGTTGTTGTGCGAGATCCATGTTAGTAGACTAGAGCGATGTGAAGGGTAAAGGTGCAAGCCCGGCAGTCGCCAGCTCTCGCCGCTGCTGGCGGAAGGTCCCCCAATCCAGGGAGGTCCACAGCGCTCCCTCTCGTGGGCTTTTGGTCCTACTCTTCCACGTTGGCCAGACGTCTTGGAAGAAGATGGGCTTACTCACACTTTACCCCACCGCACAGAAGCTGTCTGTCCATCGATTTGCGGTTGTCCACCCATTAAGAAACTTGCTCATTGTTTAGACTGATAACCACAACGCCTCATGAAACAATGATCTCGCAGTGGATTCATGAACACTGTGCCTCGTTTTTTCCATCTCATTCGTCCCATTAAAATGAAAACCTCTCCACCTCTCAGCCCTCAGCTAATTCAATCTATAGGTACCCACATATGAGTACAGAATAAATATTAATACGGCACACTTGAATGGGTACCCATAAATGTCATTTTTTAATTCACAATGTTTCAGTTTATTTATTAGGTATAGCCCTGTGAGCCATTCGGCTCTTGAATCGGGTGCATCCGCAACAAACAAAACATGAACAAGAAACATCTTAAAGTGACTACGCGCACTTGTAAACACGAGCGAAGGAACCATTTCATAATAAAATATTCCAGCCACTCTCAACCCACCACTGGATGAAGGCCTCCGCCCGCCAGATCAGTCGCGGCAGGGGGTGTTTGGACCATACTTCACCACGCTGGTGAGTGCAGGCTGGTGCAGGCGGAATAGCACCGGGCCGGTTCTCATGGAACTTGCCAACGATGGTAACCCTGACCGGGGACTCGCATTCGGGTGCACGCTAACCGCTGTGCCACCTGCTCTGAACCCGAGACCTGATCGCTCCCACTGCCCGACAGAGCCTCGCGCTCACACACGTGCTCTGTCTACGTCGTTTGGACTTTCCACCTTCCTATGGCCTTGGCGATGTCGTGTTACATGTGGTGTCTCTTGCCCAGTGGTTTGATTCCACTATGTAACAAACAAATTTTGTTCCTGGGTAGTGTTATTTCCTAATTGGTTCTGCCTCAAAAGTACAGAAAATTGTTATTATTCCCCACAAATTTTTGCGTTTGTGACCAGGACATTGATATTTTGAAATTTACCTATTTTCAATGAGAAAACGGGCGAATTTGTGTCTTTTCAGTCACATAAAGTCAGAAAAAAACAACATGAATCAAAATTAACATGTATTTATACTAAAGTCATACAAAATTAAAGATTTAGACACCAAGACGCACTACCACAGGCGGGACTGGCCACAGGGGACCGAGTTCTCTGTGGGGAGCGTCGGCCGAGTCCCAGCAGCGCCGCGTGTGAGTTCCACTGAGCACGGGCGCCAGCGCTGCGCCGCACGTCCGAGGCGGAGCCCGCAACACGTGCGCTGGGAACTGCGGCGCCGAATAACGCAAAGCCCTTTCAGAGTCAAACCACTGCCGAGGAGTGGCGGACATTCCATATGAATACACGTACGGTCCACACTAGTAATGTACAGGTGGCAAACCTACGGCTACCGTTTCGGACAATGGTTCTTAATCAGAGCAGGGATAGAGAGCTGGCAGCGAGAATGACTTTGTAGTTGGATGGTAACGCGTTGGAACATCTTACCAGATGCAGCTTTGAATGATGTCACCGTGCCGACCGCCACCACCATGACCACCACTACCGCTACCGCACGCTGTGCGGCCATATCAGGCAGAGTCGGAGGTTCACTCTAAAACGTAAAACACGATTCGTTGCCCTAATGCCTCTGCTGACCAGCACCTCGCAAGCGCGCGTCTGTACAGGCACACAACAAGACCACGCTACTCGCTCTCAGTGAGCGGAGCCACAACCAGGGTATTAATACTCCGTGTAGCGGGGGCGGTGCTCTCTTGACGTCACTTGACATGACTCAGCGGGGCTGCGTACACGGGGTGCTGGTGGCGCTGGGTTCGAATCCCTACCACGGATAACATGGTCGCAGATGTGTAAACAATACAAGTAGGAAGACAAAGACGACCTGTGTGGTGCTGTTAACAGCACACTCTGGTGTTCTCGATAACCTTGGGGTTTTGTCTCTGTGTGTCCCTATGTAAACTTATGTCGTCACGGTGTATAATTTCTGATCCATGTCGTACGTAATAATATCATCCTACTCATTAGATCATGGGTCGAGAGGGGACGTCAGACGTTGTGAGTGAGAGATGGATGGGTACGAGACGGACACGGCGGGTGGTGCAGGCGGCTGCTGGATGCGCGTGTGGGTGGTGCATGGGGCGGGTGGCAAAAGTCCGGTGGTGCTGGACGGGTGCCAGCAACACCTACAGGTGACACCAGGTGGCACGATGACGACTATAGCCAGCAGCGGAGCTTCGCGATGCGCTCATAGGAAATCCCAGCCTCACCCGAAAGCCGAAAGTAATGGAATGCGAAACCGCGAGCTTTCGTTGTTGCAGGCGCGGTGCGGCCACACGGGGACCCAGAGTCACGCGCGGAACTCGAGCAACGCCGCCTCTGTGTGCACTGCCGCAGCAATGAGAACACGGTGTAAGAAAGAAAACAAACTATTCCTGGGTAGTAAGTGTTATTTCCTAATTGCTTATGCCTCAAAAGTACATAAAATGGCTATTATTCTCCACATACTTTGCTTTTGTGACCAGGACAGTGATATTTTGAAGTTGACCTATTTTCAATGAGAAAACGTGTGCATTTATATCTTTCGTTCACATAAAGTCCTGGTCACAAAATCTAAGTTTGTGGGGAATAATAGCCATTTTCTATACGTTTTAGGCATAAGCAATTTAAAAATAACACTTAATACCCAGGAACAATAATAGTGCTACATAGTGGAATGAGCGTGGCAAGGCGCATCCAGCGTGGAGCACCGCAGCTCGCACCTCGCTACACGCGATAGAGTTCAATGTACAGCAGCAGCCGGGTTAGTTGATGAATCCAGTCTCATCGATTCACTCAAAGTCACTCTCTCGCCTCCTCGTCACTCTTCTCTCGCTACTACCGCGATGCCCGATCTCGCGAATTCCACCCGTCGGTTCCTCCTCGCGTGTCGAGGGCTCGGCCTGTGCCGTGTTTGCTCCCCGCACTGCGACTCGCAGCGCTTCTCGTTCTGCTTCTTCCCTCGCACCGCACCACGTCGAAGTCATCCCATCGTCCCTATTCCCAAGTGCTCAATACAATGCGCGTCTTGTTATCTATCAGCAGGACCGCCCGCGGAGCTTCTGCTAGGATTGTATGAGCAGCAGAGCGGTCTTATAATTGCACGTATTGTTGTAAGTGGTATTTTCGTCCAATTAGTGTTTCGACTTACGATCATTTGGACTAATGATCGAGCCTCAGGAACAGAACCCGTTCGTAAGATTATTAATTATTATATGGACAGGGCGTCTCACCTTCATTTTATTATCGGAAGTTTGTGTCACGTTGACAGGTCATGGATACTACGTGCCGTATCGCTCAGCCAGCAGCCACCCTGCATAAGGGATAGTGCTGAGTAAAATTATGTTAACGAGTCCCGTCGCACACGCTGACTGGTTGCATTGCGTGACGTTAGCAACCAACCAGCCAACCAGATGGGCAGAGTGTTACAGGAAAAAATATCTCTTAGCGTATCATCTTATTAACTCCCAGCAGGAACCCGCAGAACTTCCGCGAGGATTTGAGCAGTCCCCGATTTACGAAAGGGGTTTGTTCCTAAAACATACACACACAACGACTTTCACACGCGCACACAAAGACAAAGATCCCCCGTATAGGCCTTAATAGACTGTTGGGGTAAGTGCTGTTAGCGAGTAGCACCTAATGAAGGCCAGCATGGCACACTAGAGGGTGGGTGGCCAGCAGCACGCCTGGCCTACCTTTGTCTCCCCAGTGGCAATAGTCACACACTGCACCAGGTACTTAGTTGAGGCTGAGTCGACCTTGGAAGGCCTAGGAGTGGTTCGGATAATTGTCACTGGTGGTGGGTGTAACCGTGCGTCCTTTTGCGACATGAGCTTTTGCGGGTTTTCGGTCCATAGCCAACCCTAGCTCTCAGTACACGCACCGCTGTGGTTTAGTTTATGGTGGGACCCCTGTTTCACGCGACACATCCAATGACCATTTTCAGAATATAACAAGGATCACTGCCAGTATAACTGCAAAATAATGGCGTTTATTTTTAATGGTGACAAGTTTGCTACTTCCCCGGGGGAGTGAAAATATCACCAGCAAATTATAGCAAACCAAATCACCATCATAACAACAGCAACAACAAACAACACAATCCTATAACAATCTGATAATACCGGTATCACGGATTTCTTCAAATACGAATGCCGACGGGTAACAACTACGGAGCAACCATCCAGGGTATGTATTAAGTCTTCCCCCAGATCTTGAACAGATTAAATAAAACGTTCCAATGACAACTTCACAGCCCTCAGACGGTCACCTCTCTTCTTTCCTGCGAGTGTGCCCAGCTGTCGAAGCCCCCGCAGTATTCAGCATTAGGGAGGGCAACTTTCACGGCAGCAGCGGGTGGTTTTTCGTGACAATCCACTCCTGGGTGGCAGACAGGTGAACATAACCGCTGTCCACAATAAGACCCTAGGTGGTTGTGCAACACCTGTACAACAAATATTCGCCAGTGGTTGAACAGGAAAAGGAAAGCTATGCCTTTTGCAGTGCCAAAGATTTGGAGAGAGCCAACAGATCATATGAGCAATTGTTACTTCTGCATGGTGCCTCCAGTTGGGAAAGGTGTATGAAAGAAGAATAAGTGGACTGTGCAAGAGAATTAAACTTCTGCTCCTGAACCATCAAGGTCACATGACCAATATTTTCTCCCATCCTCCTTCTTTGAACCACACCTCATAACATAGGGTGAACTGAAAGACCTTGTCAGGGATTTGGAACTACCGAAGAGTAAGGCAGAATTGTTGGGCTCCAGACTGCAGCAGTGGAATCTCCTGGCAGGTGATGTTAAGGTTTCCATGTTCTGTGACTGTCAAAAGGAACTTGTCCCATTCTTCTTCATGGAAGGTGATCTTGTGAGAATGCAACAACATCGATTTGTGATGGCAGCCCTCAACATCGTTCAAGATCCAGATGAGTGGAGACTGTTCATTGATTAATCGAAGATGCGTCTTAAAGCTGTTTTGCTACATAATGAAATGTTTTGCCATCAATTCCAGTTCATCACGCAGTCCATATTAAGGAAACTATGACATCATGAAACAACTTTTGAGGTGCATGAACTATGATCAACATCAGTGGCAGGTTTTTGCCCTCTTCCTTGGTCTGCAGACTGCATACACAAAGTACTGCTGTTTTATCTGCGAATGGGACAGTTGAACGAGAGATTCCCACTATATCAAGATAAATTGGCCCCTCCGACAGTCATTGGAGCCTGGGAGGAACAGTGTTCAGCATCCACCACTTGTTAAATCAAGGAATATTTTGTTACCACCTTTACACATCAAGCTGGGTCTGATGAAGAACTTTGTCAAAGCCATGGACAAAACACAAGCAGCTTTCAAGTACCTCCGTGTAAAATTTCCAAGGTTATATGAAGCTAAGATAAAAGAAGGTGTCTTTGTTGGTCCTCAGATTCGTGAACTTCTTCGAGATGATGCATTTGACAGTGCACTGCGTGGCAAGGAAAGGATGACATGGAAAGCCTTCCAGTTAGTGGCAACACATTTTTTTGGAAACAACAAGGCAGACAACTACAATGAGTTGGTGGAAAACCTCCTCAAGGCATACAAAAGCCTTGGTTGCAACAAGTCACTAAAGATACATTTTTTACACTCTCATCTCGATGTTTTCCCATACCGAACTGCGGAGCAGTGAGTGACGAGCATGGCGAGCGATTTCACCGGGACATTGCAACAATGGAGAAACACTATCAGGGAAAATGGAGCCCATTAATGCTTGCATACTATTGCTGGACAGTGACAAGAGATGCTCCATTTAATGAATACAAGAGACAAGCCAAGAAGCGCCATGTAGACACTAAGGACTAAACTATGTACTTATATATACATAATAGTTTTTGCCTTTTGTTTCATTATACATTTTATTTATATAACCCTTTTGCTGATTTTTTAAGTGTTACATGAACAGGACAGGTGACATGTTGTCATGTAAAGCAACCATAGCACATGAAAAGACCTAGGTTTACAATTTATGAGTAAAACTCTATCTACACAATATACATAGACGTAACATGTAAAAACTTAAATAGCTTGGGAACAGTAGCCAATCAGTTGTTTTAATTGTCATATTTGAATTCAGCACGTCAAAATACATAATAAACAGCACATTTAATCTCCGAAGCAGACGACGTCTAAAAAATTGTAGGCCAGTTTTATCTGTCGTTATTACCACAATTTTTTTCTCGTGATCTGCGCGGTATCCTTCATTACCCGCGCGTACAAAGGGGAAGAACTAACGGCCGCGTCTCTGCCTCTCCTCTTATTTGCACAAACGCTCGGATGCCATGGTCGAGGTCACTGCTACTTCAGGGAGACGACTACCATATTGAAGTATTTCAAAGTGCTAAAAATAAATATGCACTCAGAAGTATAGATATAATCTAAGCAAAGTAGAAATCTGATAACAATATCAACATCAATGGTGTTTTGCGGAGTGATATTCGCTGTGGTTAATAGGATGAGCGAGTGACAGGAGGATGGATAAGGAATGTTTGACGGTGTATTTGTACGGCGACCTAGGATACGGTGTATAAACAACGAATGTATTCGGGATTAACTGGACCCACGATGGACTCATTAAGGTTATTATATGGCAGTCGTTTGGATAACTCT